ATATAGAAGTTATAAAGGAATCACTCATAACTATTTATCACGCAAAACTGAATAAAAAAGGTGACTCGCTTTTCTCGAAGCATTTCTACGGAGACACTCTATCTATATAATCTAAGGGCTAATTATATTTATTGAATAAATAAAAATTCTTTATTATTTTCTTCAACAAATAGGTACTATTCCATAAATACATCTATAAAAAAAAAACAAAATGACAAAAAGCAAAGTAAGAAGGCAATGATATACCGCATACCATTACATAATTGTACCCTAATATATGAAAGACAGTTAAAAGAGGTATTAATAATGTAATAAATATAAGACTATTTAAAAAACTCAACCTTAGCTATTTAAATTTACTACCAAACGACCACTATATTTAGCTGGCGAACACGTGAACTAAGACTCGAATACGAACATGAAAACACAGCATACCACCTTTGAAACAGTAAATTTCCAAGCAAAGACTTACTACTGACACTTTTACGTGCACTTACGATTCTGTATGTATTATCATTAATAGCAACATAGATACCACTTGAGTGTATATTTAAAGCTCTCCGAGTACAATTAAAACTGTCGGGATGAAAATTTAGGGCGTCGTATTACACACGGATGGTTCGCGCAATTAGCGAGCGAGGATCTCTCCTGTTCTGTGTATATTTAGACGTTTATGAGTTCTTTCAGAGATGCCATGGTGGAGTTAGGAAGATCTTCTCATAGGATGTTTTAAAGCAAAGGTGTTTCAGTGTCATATGTTGTATTCTTAATATTTCTCTGTGTTTAAACATTATTATACTCATACCTACATGAATGACGTTATAACGAAAAATGTTTGTATGTTACCATTTGCACTAAGGTAAGCGTGAGCTAAGTAAGATATCCTTATTTTGTAGCTTGCAGTCTATTTAGTATATCGCTTGCTATATTTTTATTATTTTATGAAAAGTACTTTTTCGTAAAAAGTATGATAAAAAAAAATATTCAAGAAATTAAATTCTTGCTCGATATAAATTGGCAAACAATTATTGCTAAAGCATAACCGATACCCTTTAGTGTAACTTTCGATTCGTGAATCTTTTAATTTATTAATTTCGATTATTTACAAGAAAATTCGATTATTAGAGACAGAAATTAGAACTTTATAGATATGCATCTTTTATTAAAGTAACATGACCAGATGTACCAAAAAAATAAGCTTTTAGTACTAGAGCAGGCACGAAACATAATTATGAAGTAGACTGTGAAACTTGTCCGGTAATAAAACTTTATTGAGGGTACCAATTTGATACGATCAATATAGTACGCGAACGCAATCGGTCGTCGTCTAACAAAGGTAGTTTCAGCGGTGCCGTTGTTAATTACGTAACAGCTCAATTTCATGTCAATATTCAAGTATTGTCAGTAAAGATAAAAACTATTACGTAAGTGGATGTGTTGTATCAGATATCTGTGGTCATTATCACACCAATAAAGAATTCAATGACTTCAACGTTGGAGAGAATAGAAAGTCCAATATAAAAGTTATTTGTTAAAAGAATTCAAATCTTCAAGATGCTAAGTGTCAATTTATTTTTCGTAGAATAATCTTGTAAGATCTAATAAGAGAAATTATACTGTAAATTGGAATTGGAATTTCTAATTAAAAAAATTTAATTTATTAAAATGCTGTGCCGTGTGGTACCAAAATAGAATAGCCACCTTTTCCCGTAAATGTCGTAAGAGGCAACTAAGGAAATATAACAGTCGAGGGATGGGCTGCAGCGTTCCTCTTAAAATATTATCAAAGTATATGTACGGCTACCAACTCGCTTACCAAGCATGGCAACTACTAGCAAAACCTCTCTTATGAGGAAGGCCTATGTTCAGCAGTGGACAGTTAACATCTGATTTGGTATTGTATGAGCTTTAAAAATAGAAAGACACATAATAGCAAAGTATTGCGTAACTTTTCATATAAAATGTATATTGTCGATCTGGAGATTTATTGTAAAAGATTTTTTTTTCAACTAATAATGGCAAAGAAGCTGAAACGGTTACTGCAAACCAAGCGAAAATATAATTACAGTATTGACCGCGAAATATACAGCCTATAAGCTTATGGTCAACTCTCACATATAACCACTCCTGTGATCTAAGGTATCAAGTATTTTAAATCAGAACTTGTGATTGGGTGATCCATTTCTACACAATAAGCCAGTATATTGCGGAGTTGGTTTGATTCTTAACTGCCTGATGTTTCTCCCAACACTAAAATGAGATGTAATGGTAATGAAATAATGAAATATTGATTACAATAAACTATACAATATTTAACAGCATTAATCTTATTTTAACAGGTCATAAAAAAGAGAAAGATACAAATTTATTATACCAATGAAGATAAATTCCAAATACCAACAATTTCTAGCTTTAACAAATCTACACAAGTAATACTTTAAATCTATTTAGATGAGCAATCAGTGTGACATTATTTCCCTGGGGCTTTTTGGAGGCAAAATAAAGAAATGTATTAACCTATTCCAGAGTACACCTTGTTTGTGTATATAGCCTGTCTACGTCCGACTAACGATCTCTTTGGTGGAAGCCGAGCCTTACCTCTAATAGGGAATGTTGCGCAACCCACATAAATCTGACGAACGGACCGACCGACATTTATTTAATATGCACAGAAGATTTACCTCTGGCGAGCATTGAATTTAATCGAGCCCAGCTGCTGTAATAGAGTTTATGAACAATAATATAAATGGTCCATGCATCTTGAGGATTTGGTGGTCACGGTTTCCGTTTTAGGAAACTGAATTACTGCGTGATAAATTGTTTCTTTTATTGTTTGAGTAATGTTCTCTTAAGTACAAAATGTATTTTGTACTATTTTTTACTATAGTAAGAAAATATTTTGATTACTAATTTGATTTATATTTTACGTAGCTTTAAAATTAATCATACTTAACTCACTAGTAAACTGTAAAGTGAGGGGAAATCAGATATACCGTTAATTTTGAAACAGACTTTCATTGTTAAAAGATTGAGGGTTAGTATAGACAGATAGAGAGTCTGTATAGACAGTTTGAAGCTTAAACACTGAAAATCCTGTTAGAATTACAACTCTATGCTGTATTTAATAAACATACTATAAATATATATGAATTGAATTGGCGAACTTTAGTCTCTAAAAGGTACTTAAACTATTAAAACATTTAGTATATCCTTTACTGATACAGAACATAATAAAATTATGAGTAAATCTATTTTTAGTATCGCACAAACAAAAGGAAGTGATGATTTTAGATGAAGCTTAAGTAAAAATTGTTCTCGTGATAGGATTTCATGGTAAATCTCCAAGAAAACATTGAATACACGCAAAGAAACGACGAAGCGAACTGGGTTAATCTAAATTGGTCTACGGAAACAGACGAATTATGAGTTTCGATGAAATGTAACGTGCCAGAGACCGGATATAAACTTTTCAAGCTTTTAATATTATAAACGAAGACACTGACGTGTTTATTGGCAATTCTCGTATCAGTAAATAATATTTTAAAATTTTAATGTTTATCTTTCGTTTTAGGATCATAAAGTGGCATTCGTTTTAGTATAAACTTTCAAAAGATATTCTTGCTCATTTCGAAGTTAGATAAATAACAAATAAATGAAATTGGAAGTCATTATAATAAGCTTATCATAGATTAATTTACTAATATTGTAGCTAGACATGAGTGCTGTGTAGTACCAGCATAGTATGGGCTCCTTCTTCCTTTCCGTGGGTGTTGTAAGAGACGACTAGGGGATGGTGAGGGATGGGCAGCAGCGTCCTTCTTAAATCATCTCTAAAGCCTAACTGCGGTTGCCAAATCGCCTGTCAAGCGTGGTAACTACTGGCGAAACCCCCCAGAGGGGAGGCTTATGTTCAGCAGTGGACAGTTAAAAGCTGATGTGATGATGATGAGTCTATACTGGTTATAGGATACCCAAAAATGATCTTATATTTTAAAGCATTGTCACACATGTAAAAAAGAATTATAAATACAAATGAGACTACTATCTAGTCTGTTAGTTAGAGGCAAAACTAATATTATTTTTATTTTACATTGAGATTAATAGTAACTAAGTTTTTTAAGCAAATAATGAAAGAAGTTCACAATTCAATATTGTTCATAGTACCAGTATTTTCATTTTATTGCACATTTTTGATGATTTGATTACTGTTAAATTATTATCAGTATATCAAAGCGATTTAATTAAGTTTCAATTATGACAGACATTTCAACGTCTGAAATAATTACGGTCTGATTACTCAAACACGATATTTGTTAATCAGTCACCAATATTGCGTATTAATATAATATAATTTGTGATATATAATATACCAAATCTATTTCACCTACAGCAATGCCAATTTAATTCAGTTTAATTTAATCATATGATTATTCCGAATTTATTGTGACATATCAAAGCTATTGTTACCCATATAATTGACGACATTATATAAGAATACGGAAAATTATGTCGACAGCCGTATAAGAATGAGCTTTCTTCAGACCCTTTTTCCTTTTATTAGCGATAAGAGCTTAATAAAAGAAGTTATACGTATTATATCGTACATTTTCTTGTAATATTATTTTATTATATCCTATCATATCACAATGTTGTTTTTATTACTTAGAATATCTGTGTAAACATTTTAAGAAGGTTTGTGTTCAGTGAAGTTTATTAATAATCTAAATACATAATTAATTTCTTTAATACTTTTTTATATGAAATCATTGAGCGTGAATTTCAACCAAATATGAGTGAAATGAAATTATCTATGTATCAATAGGTTAGCATTTTACAATGAAAACTTATATGGACCTTTTAAACATTAAGGCACAGAAAGAGACAAACGTTGAGAATCCACAAGTATAGCTGGAATAAACTTTAGACAATAAAATTTAAAAATTAAAATATGCCGAATAAAATTTGGGGCAACTCCATATTTAGTAGGGTCTTTTACTTACATGCCAATTCGAGGATAGCCGGTTGACTTCTAATGTTTCCTCTGCTACTCCAAGCAAAACATGTACACGCAAATCTATCACCGAAATAGTCTTCCAATTGATCTCTTGTGACATTATATTCCGCCTCCACAATCCTTACGCCACTTTGTGGATCAACAAATTCGAATTGCGTACTAGCATCTGATTTCATATCATTGCATTTGAAATAAACTTGGAGAGCATTAGCGGCTTGACATCTTAGTGTAGTTGGCTTATTTCTAACTACAAAACCATGTTGAGGTTCTTGCAAGAACATTGGAAGGTCATCTGTGGAACTTTGCAACAAATGATCTCCGGACAAAGACGGTAGCTCATCAGCATCGTCTCTATTGTCATGATCGTCTTCTTTGTGTGATTCATGATCGTAATCTTCTTCTAAATAATCTCTATGATGAGGTGGAGGTCGATTCTTTTCTGAATTATATGGATCTAGTGCTTCTACTCCGGCGGGATGGGCATATTCAGGACGAAGAGGTATGGGCGGTGTTGGAATTGTCGTTGTATGGTCTGATTCAGTTGTATTTGTTTCTGTAACAAAGGAAAAACAAGTTTACATTATATAAATATGACATTTTATAAAGGCCTATGTTGAGCAATGGAAAAATAATGGCTAAAATGATGATTATATAAATAAAGATGATACAGATATATCTGTCCCTAAAAGAAATAAATGAATTGTTACGATGATGAAAAACAAAACAATCCAAAGAATAGATGATATCCTAGATGAGCTTTTCGCAATATTTAGTATAACATGTAGTACCATAATCCTTAGGAGAAGCAACAAAAAATTCTTACGGGCGGTACAGTATATACTGTGATGTTTAGGTAGTGTATTATTTTATATATGACGTTTAGGTAGTGTATTATTATATGTATATGACGATTACTAATATTTTTATGTAGACTTTTATTTCATTCACTACTCCTATTATGTAATAAGTATGTCGCATCTTAGAAGTTTTTGACACCAGAGGACGTTACCCTCAAAGAAATAGTAGTAAAGTAATAAAAAATTATATGAATAAATATAAAATATCATTATAATAAAATATTGTTTCATATAGGCTTAAATATGGAAAAGTTTATACGACAGGTTTATAATTGAATGTAGGAATACAAATACATAAACTCACTAGGTGGTCACGTGAATGCTGTAAGTAGAAATACTTGCATGCGCAATACCTATAAAGTCAGCAGCGATAAAACAAGCTACACGCATTTATCCTGAGAATATTTAAGGTTTGTTAAATCATACTCATCTTGCAAGATTTAGTCACTAGCTGTTTATAAAACCTGACGTTAACATGAACTCAACTAATAGTCTTGATATAAATACTATCTAATTGTACAAAGTTAAATTATACGACGCCATTAGGAACAAACTGCAACTGTCATATTAACACGACCCTCCGTGCCTCGTCATCGATTTCTCTCAAACCCGCACCTGGTTTGACGCCTCAGTCGCGCCTATTTACACGCAAAACATAGATATTTGGATACTGTACACCCTACTTTACGATTTTGGGTGTCTCCAAACCAAATTTATCTCACCAGCGAAGCGACAAAGTTCAAATTTATTTGGCAACAAAATTTAAATATCCCTTTCAGAATTTCGCTCAGAAATTGCTATCAGCACATCAGTGTGTGTTACACTTTCAACAGTGTTGACAGTAATACCGAGACTGTATTATTTGAAGACGATACGAAAATAAACCACAACTTGCGCGAACTGAGGATAACTTAATTAGTTTCACTTCCGTTCAGCTTATTTCTATTTCCGTTTTCGTGGGGTCGAACGCTATTTCCTACTGGGATCTATTTTTCCTTAATAGGATTTGTTTCGGGAGTCGTTTTTCCCTGCTCGTCGCGGTGCTTAGCGACCTCCACATCAAATCATTAAAATTCCAATTTGCCTTGAGGACTCTCAGGTGTTACTGACCTATATTTAGGGGACGGAGGTTTGTAATTCGTATTCTTAATGGTAGAGTTTTTGTGACACATTTATGAAAATATTACCAGATCTTTAAATGAGTGAAAATATTTCAACTTAACAAATTTTAATGAGATATTACAAACCTCCAGTTTCTTTTTAGATGTTTAAACAATTTATATGCTGTAATTGTCTTGCTGCATGTAATTAACTTGTATTATGTGCACACAATTTTAAATCTAATAATAGATTTAAGGTTAACAGACATAAGAAACAAGACGAAACAACTCATGATTACTTAATTACGTGTCGATCGATAATGTTGAATCTAGCTTCATGTCACATACTCGTTTATACTGATGGAGGTGAGGTCAATTATACATTCTGTTGAGCGTACGAAGCTTAGCAAGCATTTCATTATGGCCTGTTTATCCCATGTCTGACTCCTATTACCGTTGGATTGGGTAACACTTCATTGCTTCGTCAATTTTAATTGGTTTTTAGCACTCCGATTTGATTAATAACTGGTTTGTCACTTTCGTAATATGAATGTTCTCTACGATAATTCCGGCTAGGAGATCGTTTCATCCGAATTTTAATTAACAATTATTTCTTTAGTTATCTCCATCTGTCGTCTCACGACTGTATTTCAAATGAATGCTTTTGTAATGTAGGTCGTCTTTTATACTGAATGAAGTATTCACGCTTATTAAAGTGTTATCTTACAAGTAACGAAACTGTTCGTTGGTACATACTACATACAAGAAGCACAACTAAAACGAATGCACGTCACGAACTTGTTGTAAATTATAAATATACGTATGGTGCAATCAGAACGCGTAACTATAGAATGTTTACGGTATCAATCAATGTTAGTACATCTTTCATCTTGTTAACCGTTTCAATAGTGACTGTGACCTCAAGGCCATAATTCAATATCAACATTCGTTTAACACGTCATTAAGTTGTTGGATTCTCATCGTAAGATTAGAATAATACAAAATTAATAGATAGTGTGTTTTCATAGTTTTAAAATACAGTCGCATTTAAAATAGACGCGCGCCAAAGAAATCACATAATGAATGTAAATGGAGAAATGCCTTATCGCCACGACACGAAGTGAAATATGTATAGGCTGATGAATGTTCGAATTCTCAGGGTGACTACTAACGAGATCTAAAAACAAACTGAGCGCCCATCGAATTGGCGTCATCCCGTCATTAACAGATGGAAAGAGCCGCCTCCTGTCATTTTGTTCGGTATTCGAATAATTAAGGTTTAGATCGTTGCTATTCTAGATAGAGAAGGACTTTATTGATGGGCTATGCTTAATCAACGTCCGGAACAAATTCTTGTTGCTTTAATGTATTTAAATTGAGGACGTTGCTTCGTTTAATTTAAAAATTATTACTAAAACGTTTTAAATGTATAAGTACACGTTCATAAATCGTTAAAATATATATTTTTTGTCTCTCTGTCATATTTTTATAAATAATTGGTATGTACAATAAAGTCTTAAAGAAAAAATAAATATTTTTTTTTTTATAAAGATTAAGCTATATTAGAAGTAAACTTCGAACCAGTGATCGTGGAATGAACAATAAAAATCCATCTCTATCTGTAAAGAAAACAAGTTGAGTAATAGTGTCTATTAAAAATTAAATGAGAGGCTCACACATTTTATCACTAAAACATAACACATGCGCCCAATAACATCAACTAAGTGGCTCTCGAGCCGAATACAGAACGTATAAAACTCTTCAATCTTCTAATGGTGCAGAGATATCGTACATTAAACCCGTCTGTTTTTTTTTTCTTTGAGTGCACGATAAACCTTCATAAGTTTATAAGAGTATTGTATAAATAAATCAGTTGTGAGCAGAATACGTGAGTTCTGATAAATCTGTTCGAAGAAGGCGTAATAAAACATTCAACCGTTGCATTCGCATCCGTTGAGACGAAGACGCCTCCCGTTCTTGATGCAGTTTTACTCGTAAATGCACTTAACGTTAAGAGAGACATAAAAAGATGCACTCGATCTAGTTAATGGAGATGTAGGCGCGGTCCTGAAATATTACCGAAAGCAAATCAAAAGGGGGACATGTGAAACCATCTGTGGATCTAACGATTGCGTGACAACTTTTTTATATAAGTGCAATAGGTCATAGATACATACACATACATACTCATAGTCAAACTAATACATGTGAATATTTAGATATTTGCTATAAATACATGCATAAATTTGATGTAAATAAGGAGGACATGGCTATGTGTTCCCGGCATAGATTAGGTCATAGTTACAGTTAGACATTAGGCAGCAGTGTCCCTCTTAAAATATCTCCAAAGCCTAACTGTGGTTGCCAATTTACATGCCAAGCGTGGCAACTACTGGCAGATACCCCAAAGCGGGAGGCTTATGTTCAGCAGTGGACAGTTAAATATAGATATATGGTAATGTTGACGATAACAAGACACTAACCAAGGAGATTGCTTCCGATTATATTAGATTTAAATGCACTCCGTAAGATGTGGATAAACAAAATTATTTTGACTACTGTTTTTGAAATTACGATAACTTTTTTTATTTATAAAATAATAAATTAAAATATTAACTCTATGTGTAGTGTATACATATACATACATAATAGTGGATACATGATTACTTAAATATTTATAAATCAATAATTACGCAGACTACTACCATAAAAAGTATCCTCTATAATACCAGATTAGGTCGAATAACTAATATCAAAAAACTTTTAAATGTATAATATTTATATACACGTCATTTTAAATTATAAGTAAAGGAGATTAAAAATCAATTGGATCTAAAACTTTATAATTGCAAATTAATCAATACTAGTGAACACTTTATTTTTAGTTATCATTGCTATATTTTTTGTTTATAACATAGAAAAGTAACACTCCTGACAAATATTTACATTAATATTTTAAGATTTTATTTTACATCCCTACAAAGTATATATAAAAAATTTAAAATGTTTCAAATGATAAAGCACAATATTTTTTATGGACTATTCGTCAATGAGGTGTTCAAATCTAGAACTATAATTAAATTCATATTTATGCAAGAATAAGAAACATAAAAGAACACAAAACAGGTTTGTTTGAAAACAAAATACATATATACAATACATTAGCAAGGTGCAAAAATCTCCATACAAAAATTATCATTCAAGCATGCTTCACTGAATGCATCGACAAATTCTCACCGTTGCTGCAAGAATGAGAAAAACCGACCACACCCACAAAAACTGATTGAATAGCCACCTTTTATATTAGAAATGTAACACGATATATACAAAGAGTCGTCGAGTACCAGTCAAGATGGGCCCAAACAAGATAATCCCTTTGTTAGTCGAGTTATAATGGCGTCTCCTGGGAGTCCTTCGCCATTATTTTCTGTTTCATTCATAGCAGCTGTGAGGTGTGCTTGAGTGGCCGTTTCCTATTTCAACGCTAATGGAACTCCGATTTCTGAATCAAATAAAATATCTTGGAATTATGGTATAATTGCTTATCCTGTCGTATCTTATAATAAAAATTCTTATAAGTGTTCGAGATCTTTCTATAGTATTATCCAATTAATTGCTCTCTGATTATTATTTGGTTCGATTATAAATAGTTTATTTGAGAAGCTAAGTTTTTCTATACCGGATACAGATCAGAAATACTGGATTTTGTCGCTTTGTATACTATATCCCTATAAAAATTAACTACCAAATAATTTAAATTCGTAATATAAAAAACAGGTATGTAGTCGTATTTATATGTAATCGCATCACATTAATTTCCGAACATTAATTTAAATTTATGGTCGTCTTCCAATTACATTTTTTTTGTCTATTGATAGCAATGATTTTTTCGTGAAATAACTATTCGCTTTTTATATTATACACGGTACGGCGTGAGTATATTAGATATAACGAGACTGCTATGGACATTGAAGAATATTTTAATGGGTTTGTCGTGTTCGGAAGTAGCACTTAGATCGTGACAAAATAACGTTTTTTGCTTCATCGACTCGCGTTATAGTATCGCCCTTTTTATCATCATTTTTTTTAGTTTCTGTCTCATCGCGATGGCTTTCTGAAGCGTTTCTTCGGGCAGCGACAGTTACCTTTTTTGCTGCGTACCTTCAGTTATCTGATTCGAGATTACGTGCAAAGTCTTCGAGTGGTGTGACGTTATATTTTTTATCACCCTCTTAGATATTTTTTCGGGCATAGATAATGAATCGCTTTTTGTAAAATTTCTCCAAGATAAACGTTGTGAGCTTAAGTAAGTGCCTACTTACTATCTCTCACCTACCGAGGTCATCATGGAAAAATGTTAGGATATTTTATCGCTGTGACCTCGTTTAAATTTCAAATTAATTTTTCTTATGTTGCCACATAAAGTTATTAATGGTCGTAAATTTATATTACTCTTATTATGCATAGTTACACAAACTATAGGAAAGCTTGTAGAACATATCTGTAATGGTATAATAAATTATTAAAATTATTTTTGTATGTATATTTATCTTAAAATGTATTAATGTATTTATATTATCTCTCAAAATATCTATTTAATTTACGAATTATTTTTGTCAAATCAATGCACAGTCTTTTACCTTCTTTGTTTACCGTAAGGGTTGACTGGTAGAGAATGTCATTAGGCATTAAGTCTGCACTATAGACATATTTTAATGTGTGCAAAACTATAATTAAATATTTAAAAATCATAATCCTTTGGTTTTCTTAAAATTTATTTCGACTAAATAAAAATTATAACTTTAGTATATATATAAACTAATTATAAACGCTTAGGCCAACCACGGACTATTTATTTTATAGAGATTTAGACCATACATATTACTTCCATGAAAGCTATATAACTAATAACATATATTTGCAAATTTTCCATCAATTACTTTTGGACGTACGTCGGCTTAGTTAATAAATATTTCAATTTATTTTGTAAGAAAAATTAAATTCTGTTTTGAAGTAAAATATTAAATATTCATGGTAACAACTCGTAACTTACAAAAAAAGCATCTAAAAGGTCAAGGAAAAGAGTTGAAACTCACCATGTTTACTGTCCGCGTCGGCTGCGGCGACCACCCAAAGCAAGAGGAGCAAGACCCTCCTCCGCGCCATCATTTCACACGCGTGCACGCATCACCTAAAACAATAAGCCTATTTGAGTACGTGAAAGCTGGCTAATATTTGTTTAGTTTTGAGGGCACGCTCCGTGCAGGTGGACTGGACAATAGTGGCTGTTGCCGTAATTTGTTTTTGGAACAATATGTTTTTTAAACTCAAGCATTTCTTTTAGGAATAATTCCAAATTTGAAAAGTCTATACTCAATTTTAGAATTTATGTTTGCTGGCTGGAATTTAGGTTTAGGATTTAAATTTAAATTTGGAAAGAAATGTTTGGAAAGAAGAGTTCCAGAAAGCTTATTGCTTATAATTGCTTTATCTGGTCAACTTCCATTTATGAATCAACTGACTTGGCTTCATCCTCACCTATTACTAGTACTCTGCCAATATATTCATTTTCAATTATTTTTATGTTAATTACATATTTTTTTACCTGAATTTTATTAATGTTTAATAACCTAATTTAAAGTAAAATCAATTGGTGATATTGATCAATTGACGAAGAATTGGTAGAAATATAATTTTCATTATTAAACAATAATAAATACTAGCTTTTGCATGGTTAAGAAAGGCTAAGTCTAAACAGATGTCCAATTGCGGCTTATCAGCCTAATATATCATTTTAAATGGAGCTGTCTAAGGATAGAAGTAATGCCATTTTAATGTTCACTTCTCTGGGCAGTCGTTGCAAATTCGTGCTAATTTATAGCAATCATAAAATCTGTTACGATAGTGTCGGCCAATGGACTTAAAGTGGAGCATTTATTAATGTGATAATACATGTATATAGAGATTTTAATTGCTTCAGCGAATTATATTAACAATACCCTGATTGGGATAAAATTTATCTTCGATTAGGGCAGTATTTTTTTTTTTTACAAAGTATAGCTGTAGTCAACTTTTTTAACAAAGAAATAAAATGTTTCATTCTTAGGATTATCTGTTCGATTTTGTAACTTTGATGTAACGTTCAAGATTTTTTGCAAAATTTGAACCTCCAGGCTTGAAATTAATTATTTTAACAAAAAAGCAAATTTAATTTGATTTTATACAGCATGCTCATATCATTTTTGATTTATTAGTTATAAAATGCGGATGAAGATAGACCTGCATCAACACTTTTTTCTTTAATTAATTAAAACACAATTGTGTTTCAAGTAATTAAAGGAAAAAGTGGGAACATTGGTGTAAATATAGAAACAGTTTAGATCTTTACATGAATAAAAATAAAAAGAGAGAATTTTCTAATGCTAACTAAACGATATCACTGTCGTAGCAAACAATGAAAGATAAAAGTTACGCCGCCTTCACATTTTATCAAGAAGTAAGTGTAAAACCATATTGAGAAGTAATATATTGTTGTGCGCGGGAGCACTAGATGTTCCGGGTTGTAAATTATTACTATCTTTTCATCTGGTGTCGATTGCATAGAAACTCCTAATTTGGGATGTTGGAATGTGGATTTATCTTTCTTACTATTCGATTTATTTCATGTAAGCAAGATCCATGTTTCTATAGTACATTGCCGTTTTTGTTAATATATTATCGTGGATTGTTTAATTAATTGTTACTATCTTGTTTAATTTAGATGTTATTCAAATTTTATGTCCGTTTATTATGCATGAGACTTTAAAATGTAATTGATGAGAAGTATTATGTTGCTGGTTTATTTACATAGTATCAGGTGCCACTTATTTTGCATACGCCAATAATGTTTTCTACAAGAAGTTTTTATTCGTACTTTCGTTTTGGTGAATTATATAGTTAATCAACTCTTGGCCAATACTAAGATAGCTTAGGATTTAACTAAAAATTATTGTCATGACTGAAATGACATGTCTGAAAGAATAATTGAAGAAGTACTATTGTAGAATATAAAAAAAGAAATCTATTCTTCTTGTGTAACACGAGCTAAACATTAATAATAACAATAAATTAATACAAAAATACAAGATACAGATAGTGTTATTTGATACACTAATTTGCTTTACACTACGCTACACATTTTTATACCTTGAAGCACTTTTAAAGCTGCTATTTTGTAAAACATAGCCCTGTTGCAAGTGAACGAATTTAGAATATTAAACAGTCCATTATAAATTTCCGGTTGGTGTAATTCGTCAACTCCAAGCCCATACCATTATGTTATGGTACAACTAAACATTTTAGTATGGCATAGTACCGTAACTAATTGGGTCCTTTTGGGGCATTTTACGAAAAAAATAAACGGTCCCATTATTGACTGCGGTAAGTAGGCTTGTGGTGTGTAAGCTATAGAGATGAAATTCAAATAATATTTGGAACGAATCGTATTCAGAGCTATTACTCCCTAGTTGTCGGTTTCTGTCTTTGATCCAGTTTTTATCACATCAGCCTTCGTAGTTATAGGCGGTTTGAAATCGTTCGCCGGAAATATATTAAATCTTGTAAATTTTAGACAAAGGAAATCTTCATCTTTAAAAATATATATGCAGTTTGATCCGTAGGAGTTAGAATTACAGTTTATTAATAATATTTACAAATACATTTGGAAAATCTTTAATGACAGATTGAACATTTCATGTAAATTGAATTATGACATCTTATAAATCTTGAGATAATATTTATATAGAAGAGATTTCAATCTCAATCCTATCAATTACTGCAGTAAAAGTATTCATATTTCCTTCTTATATAATGTAATAAGTAAATGTATTATTATGTTTACAGTCGTGATTGACAGTGGATCTTGTGCACATACTATTAAAACATATATTAGAAAAACACTTGTACTCTTCAACAAATTGTAAACTCAAATCGAAACTGAAGTTATATTATGCTTTTATCGCTATTAATTTAATTTCAACAAAATTAACAAGTAAACAAAGTTAACGTCGCGACAATAAACCGTGTTTCGTTTACTTTACTTAAGAGTCCCTCCAATTAAATAACCTTGAATAGAATCAAATGATATTAAAACTTTCTGTATTCACTTGATGGTATTCTAAGCTAATTGTATAAGCAAACCAATAAATCAGTGTAACGATTAATCAAATACAAAACTCTAACTTGTAAATCGAGTTAGGAGTGAACTCAACGAAACTGTTTGTACTGTAATTAGTACAAGGATAGTCTATTTGGGATACTTTTTACAAACTTTTATTGGACTTGGAAAATTTTATGTACAGGTCAAGGTACTTGAGAGACGAGCACTTCTGGACCAGTTCCTTTTTCTGTAGATCTCAAGTGGCAATTAGTGACGTAGACACATACGCCGAGATCGACTACGTTAGATTGATGTCGATTTATTTTCACATTGTACTACATTCTTTGTTTATTTATTTATTTAAGTTCAAATTAATTAAATAATATTTAAGTTAAATTTAATAACTTATTAAACTGAACTATGTATATTTATGTTTGTAACAATTGTTAAAAGTATTTATTATACACTAATATACATATTTACGAAGGCATTTTTTTATTACGTGAAAAATGTTTTTACTTAGTTTGAAATCAAAAATTTATTATAGAATTTCATTCCAGTATAATCTAAGTTTATGAAAGTGATTTACATACGTTGATGATATTTCTAACAGGTTCTGTTATTACAGTATTCATGATAATTTTTTTGCTATTTTCTTTTAATTTCTTCATATTACTTTTGTCTTAGAAATGTTCTTTAAACCTCGGTAATGCAGTAGAATCTGCTGACAAAGATTTGTTATAGAACAGTTCTGAAAGACTTTTTATTTATTTATAACGATAATAATTTTAATTATTGCATACGGCTTGGATTTTATACTTCTTTTAAATGATTAATTACATATTTAGATACAATGCCTTCATGCTAATGAGAGATTTTAGAAAAAGATTAAAAAAAAAAATACTATTATTATTACTAATTATGTTGATAAACTCTATATATTGTCTCCTAACGCAAAAGAAGTATTTCTTACAAATGTTACAAGAGATGTAAAGAATCTGTCTTAGGGATGATTAAAAAGTTTGTTCTTTGTACTTGATTTCCTCTACCCTTCCCGTATCTAAGTAAAGTTAGTTAGAAATACAATATTAAAAACAAGAATATTATGAAACCATAACTTCTACTACAAATGAATATTTACGCTGACTGAATACCACTAATATAAAAATTACAACACAATCATATTGATAATCAAGAAATAAATCTCAAAGTTATTATAAACGAGCTTGTTAAATCACCGTATCGCTTATATCTGATTACGGCGACGTCTTCTCCGATCGTCAGTCTACAGCACGCTTTATTGTGTACATCTCTAGAGTTACTGCACTTTGTTTTGTTTCAGATAAGGCTGGCTTCCGTCGCGTTTATCGAGAGTTTCATAAACAATGCCCAGTATCCTCAACATGTTAACGATTGGAGTCGATGTTGCTGACGTTTTATACAATATACGATGTGTCTACGTTATTTATTTCAGAATACATAATACTCACACTGTGTCTAATATCCTTTTGGATGTAAACATTTATCCCACTAGCGCGTAAGTGATTCGACAAACTCTTGGGAATAGTAAAATATTCCATTTTCTTCTTTACGAATATATATTTCGTTTTATCCATTTCGAGTGATTGAAATGTATCTGTGCTAGCTATGTCGTTTTATATCTAAATATATATATTAAACATTCTCATTTTAGGAAGGTATTTTTCAGAATTAACTCTTTTTGGTTAGGAATCTGATGTCGACATAACATTTTTTAATACTTATGTTGTAAATAATATTAACAAGATTGCTTCTTTTTAGACCATAAACAATTTATCATTATTCCTCTATGGATTTTTTAGAGATTATCACTTGCCTGATAGTTGTAAGAAAGGTTGCGAATAGTGGACTATATATTTGGCGCTGTATGTTAATAAAAATATCAAATAATGGCATAGAGAGTATATATAGCTGTAAGCATCGATTGCAGTTTATTACAAGAGAGTAAGAGATCGTGGCAAAGTGCTGCCACATATAGGAGAATAACATAAAAAAAAATTGATTTTGAATAAAAT